ACAAAAGCTAGTTATATTTCACACATCTTAATACTGGATATCAGTGGTTGTAAAAGTTTAATTAGTTCCTGTGTGCCATGTTCATTGAGTATGTGCATTTGTAATTTTGGGCATTTGTTGATTGTGGCTCTCATGTATTTAGAGTATATATTGTACAATACAAAGCAAAAGGTATGGTTGTTCTCACAGTGGGTTAATTGTGTACAATTCAAACTAAGATCTCAAAAGCCTGAGTACTATACCTGCATTTTTTTTTTTTTTTTTTTTTTTTTTTTTTTTTTTTTTTTTGGTATGAATGTGACATCTTTTCCCTCTCATTTCTGAGAAATATATGATGAAAGTAATCTCTTAAAGGGAAGGGCTTTGAATTCAAGGAATTAGAGATAACCTCCCTTTCCTTGGAATAAACTTGATCACCTTCCATTTTCCAGATACTGTATACCCTTAAGGGTTTAGTGTTTCCTATAACTATAACAGTAATCAAGGAAATGACGTAATGAATATTTTAGAAGCATGAAGACTCGGTACAAAATATTCAAGATCCTGGAAATCGTTAAGTAATTCGTGGTATAAAGTACATATAAAAATAATTGCATGAATGATTGCATAATAATGTGATATATTCTTGTATGATAAACAGGTATTGATAAGAAATTAAGATGTAAAATAATGTTTAAGGTACAATAGGGAGAATTTGACCCCACAAGAGATTCGGTGGAATTGGGGAGTAAATTGCAGAAGACATAAGTTATTTTTAAAGGAGATTGATTAGGTACATAATGATAGCAAATGGAAGTATTGTACTTCATTAGTATAAAAAGGACTAGGACTAATTAAACAAGGGATCTCTTATATCCCATTTGAAATTTTGATTTTCACATACCTTTAAATAAATTCTGGTTTTCAGTATTTTGACTTTCCTTTTTCCTTGTATCTTATCTTTTCTCTTCTCTCTGTTTATTTTTATCCTTGAGTACACTTTTTTTTTTTTTTCCATATTTTTATCTGTCAGTTTAAGTGAATGATACCGGATTCACTCTTATGATAGCCAAATCAGCAGGCAAAAACTCTAATATTTCTGGTGCTCCTGTGGTATATGCGAAGAAGTGTATAACTGTGTATATACACTGCAATAAAAACATGCTTTTGCTAGCTCTTCTCTATATGATTTTATTTTTTCGGTTTTTGTTTAAAAATATAAAAAGTTCATTAAACTCTATAATATGTATTAGACACTTTTACTTTAAATTAATGCTTTTCAACCAAAAAAAATTTGAATATTTGTTTTAATTTCTGCTTTAAGGATCAGTTTTCTTGACTAGTGGTTTACAGGTGAAATGGAACCTTATTGATCTTTGTGCAGTCAGTAGGCTTTGAACTTAATGAACCAACCAACCAACCTTTAAAATGTATTTGGAAAATTCATTTTTAACACAGCCACCATCTCAGTGATGGGCAAGTGCCTGGAAAAAAACAAGGTAACAGATTTTTTTTTATTGAATTTTAGCCTCTTGTAGGTCCATCTACTAAGTGTGGGACATGTACTGTTTAGTCATGCTCATCCAGTTGTCCCACTTAGAGATAAAAGCAAAGAAATAAATGAATGAAGATATTAGTCTACCTTACAATTATATTTGTCTCAGACTGGCCATGAAAAACCTTAATTTTGTCTTGTTGCACCTGTCTAAAATAATGATGTGTATACTTTCAGCATTCTACATTGTGTGATGTGTGCACTTTATTCTATCCTATATAAGCAGCAATTTAAAGAGGGAAGTAAAGTCCAGAATAGCTCAGTATAATCTACAACTCCTGTAAACTACTCACAAAGTAAAGGAGTTAATACAGGAAGGCCCCACTTACATAGCAGGTTAGGTTCCAGGCTACTGCTGTAAAGTGAAACATAAACATTGTTTGCTTTCAGATGTATATAAAAGCCTGATAACATGTTTATGCTGTCATATATTAAGTGAACAATGGAGCTAGGCCTAAATAATGCATTTACAGTACACACATTACTTACCTTAAAATAGTGAATGGTGAATATATTTATTGTAGGAAGTATAAATAAATGAAGAAAAGGTATAATTGAAAACTGCTTCATTACAAAATGCTGTAAAGTGAAGCACTGTAAAGCAGGGCTCTCCTATATGAGGAAATTAAATACGTTTTTTTATAATTAGGTTTTGCTTGCTTGTTCTATTAGAATAAAATTGCTTTCAATTAAATAGCATAATTTTTTGAAGTTTATATATCAGGACTGAATATTTTGTGAATGTTTTTCTTGCCTTCAAATAATAATTGGTTTGAAAGTACACTTAAACAGTTTGCTAAGAATTATTCATTCAGGTTTATTTGCAAGTGGAATAACTGCCATGCAGTGAATATTGTATGTAAAATTATATTTGGTTTACTACGTAATATTTTGTAGTCATAAAAACTGGAGAAGTGATGCAGGAAGAATCAGAAGGATGTGATGAAGGGAAAACATGAGAATGGTAAATAGCAGTTGTGGAGAAGATAGTTAGAGGTTGAAGTGACCCTTACGAGTTTAGTGCTTGGTTATGATTATAATAATAATCAGAGGTTGAGGATGTTTGGCAGACCAAGTGGTGGGATAGTGTGAACATAAGGTCAAGCAGTTCACTACTAACCCAGAAATTGAAGATGAAATTCGACGTTGTTTTGGTCTGTCATGGATCATTAGCAGATCTGGACTCTTCAGTGGGAGGATGATTTGTTGTTGAGGGGCTCCTCCCTGTCTTGGGATCAAACCTGATTACCTCCTTTTCCTTAGGTGCTTTATTGCCCTTACAGGCTTAGCTCTTCCCCATGAATACAATCAAGTTGTACATGGCCTAATAAGGGCCCCAAACAGACTAGGACACTGTCTGCTTTCATCTCAATATATGAGTTAGCTGTAAATTAGTTAAGAATGAGAAGTTTATTTCAGCATGATACACGTTTGTACAAAGGAGTATAACTATTATTGGGTGCACATGCCAGAACCCTTTGTATGCAGAGCATTTTGGACAAACTTCAGACTAACTTAAGATTAATAAAGCATTACCAATGCGGTAAATTTGTACATATGGTCATTATGTGAGTTTACAATGAATACAAGAGAATTGAATATTGAATTAGTTTGTGCTATATGGCTTTAATAGGTTTGGTAGAGAGGAATTACAATTTTGATTATTAACCTAAGGCAGATACAATGAATTGGCTTTCTTCAAAGGTGAGCACGAGGCAAAAGATTGCTCCTTATATAGCCTTTGTAGTTGTGCTTCTAGTGATAACCAAAGCCACCTTGCATACAAACCAACTGTTTATAATTTTTTAAAATAAACTTGCAAATATAAAACGATTCGACTCGCGAAATCATAACACAAATTCAAACCATGACTTATGAAATTGTAATAACATGATTGCAAACAAACCACTGTATGGATGGGGTTAGAACCCATGGCAGGTGAGTTGTAAGACCACGGAATGGGTGGGATTTGAACCCATGGCAAGTCAGTCGTAAAACTAGCACACTCACCTGGAGTTTTAGGAATCCCTTGCCATGGTTTCAAACCCCACCCATTCTGTGATCTGTTTCGAAACCATTTGTATAAGCAAGTGGTTTCAGAAAGCATGGTACATACCTGGCTGCTGTATTATTGACAAGTTAGTTAAAAGGCAGAGACTTAACAGGAATTCATATGGATAATTTGATATTTGTATAGTATTTAGAGCTTACCAGTAATTTTATATTGAAACGTGTAATAATCAACTTTAGCAATTAAAGATATAAGGCCAAGAGAAGTTGAACTGCTGTGTACAGAATGCTCAGACAAGTCACCACTTACTATTTTTCTTTGTCAAGTCATGTAACATTATCAGCAAGAATCACCTTTTTCTTTTCCATCTTTTTTATTTTTTATGTATCTTCATCTGCAATTTTTTTTTTTTTTATTATTATATTTTTCTTGAATTAACAGGAATTTTTAAGAGTAGTTCCCTTGTGGTTTAACACTTCTTTTTGATTATAATAATAATAATTTAAGAGTAGTTTGGAAAGTAATTGATTTTTCCTTGTTTTTTGTTGCTGCAGTACTAGTGCTCTTTCTTCTCCATCTTCTACAGCATCTTTCATCTTGTTTCTTCTCCCTTCCCTCTCATTTCCTCTCCTCCCTGTGTTAATATGACAAGAAGGCAGTTAAAATCTACATTATACATTTTTTAAAATATTGATAATTCTTAAAAAATTAAACCAGTCATTAGTGAGAAAAAGCATGAAGCAAATATCATGTGCAATACTTTCCTTATTAAACAGTATTGTAATTGTTTTCACAAAGGAACAAGGTGCAATAGATGAATGTACCATTATGCAAGTTGCAATGAATGCATGTACCACTGTATAGGTTTCAGTGAATGCATGCACCATTGTACAAACTGCAATGAATGCATTTATCATTGCAAAACTTACAATAAATCCTTGCACTATTGTAAAAGCTACAATGAATACAATTATCATTGCAAAAGTAATAAATGCCTTTACCATTGCACAAGCTACAATGAATGCATTTATCATTTCAAAAGTTATAAATGCTTGCACCATTGTACAAGCTACAGTGAATGCAGTTATCATTGCACAAGTTACAATAAATGCTTGTACATTTGGAAAATGATAACCTGACTTTTAAACTAAAAGTTTTCTTTTATTATTTATCATTGGGTTTAATTTGTTGGAATGAGACATCAATCAGAAATTGGCAGTTGTTGATAGTGGTGCTCATAATTCATTAATTGCTTCCCAGATTCATAATTTATTTTTTTCGCTGATGCATTGTATCGCAAATATAAAAGTTACCCAAAGTACTGAAATATTTTTGCATTCAGGTAAGATGAATTATGATGCACTGTATTTAAGTGATAATTACCAAATTTGTATTTTATTTTTTTCACCTGAACTGGGTTGACATGCAGGTAATGATATGTAATGTGATTTACAGATGACTCCTTGTGTTGGGTCAGTGAACTCGCAGCTGTACCCTCATTTCGAGTCCCGGCAGATGATTGGCCCAGGAGCACCGCCCTCTGTGTACATTCAACATGGTATGTACTGGAAGATGAGGAACTTTTAAGGAGCAACAGACATTTCATTGGTGTTAGCCACTGGACTTTGTTTTACCTTCTAATATTTGGTTTAATCCATATGATTCCTCCAGTTATTTCTGGCTAATATTTGGGTGTAATTCATATGGTTCCTCCAGTTATTTCTGGCTAATATTTGGGTTTAATTCATATGGTTCCTCCAGTTATTTCTGGCTAATACAAGTACCATCCGACTTACGACCTGCTCAACATACGACCACTTGTACTTACGACCGTATGTCTGGCAGCATATACAGTAGTAAAATATTTAGTAAAAAGTAACATATGATACTATGTAGGTACTTTATATAGCTAAGGTTTGACATTATGCCCTGCCTAGTATGTTGGCAATTTTCTAAGGTTCGACTTGCGTCCATTTTGACTTAGGACTGGTTGGTCGGAACCAAGCTCGGTCGTAAGTCGGATGGTACTTGTATTTGGGTTTAATACATGTTGTTCCTCCAGTTGTTTCTGGCTAATATTTGGGTTTAATTCATATGGTTTCTCCAGTTATTTTTGGCTATTATTTGGGTTTAATCAGTGTGGTTTCTCCAGTTATTTCCCTTAAATTTTGAATATTTATCATATCACAGTATATTGAATTATTCATTAATGGTGTTCCTCCACCTGTTTTTTTTTATATACTCACAACTCTGTGACAGTCAAGTAATTTTCTACATACAATACAGCCTCTCCTCACTTAACAATGAAGTTCCGTTCCTAAGACCACGCCGGTAAATGAATTCTTCGCTAAGCAAGACGTATACTATAATAGTAGTGGGTTTGTGTCAACCATCTTTGATATTGTTTTAATGTCACCTTTGCACTATTTGTAACATTTTTAATATATTTTTAAATGCTTATACAGTAGTGTACTGTATATTGTAATAAACAGAATAGAGGAAATCAGCTCTAATATGCATTATTTAGGCATGCATACTAGTCAGAGAGCCCGTCGTAAGTCCGAGTTGTCGGTAAACAAGTACGTTGCTAAGTGAGGAGAGGCTGTACTTAAAATACACAAATAACCCACACATAGGAAAGAGAAGCTTATGACAGCGTTTTGGTCCAGTGTGACTTGTAAATGGTGTGACTGCAGTGGTGTGACTTGTAAATGGTGTGACTCGTAAATGGTGTGACTCGTAAATGGTGTGACTGACTTGTAAATGGTCCAGGTCAGACTGAAACATCATCATAAGCTTCTCTCTCCTATGTGTATTGTTCCAGTCACTGTATTGTCCCTTTTTGCTCAATATTTAAAATCTTCGTACCATGCATTGTCTTGTATAGGTTTGATTGCTTGTTATATACTTAGTGGTGGCAACTTTTGGAACCGATTCTCCAGATATATATACGGTAAATTTTACTGCCTCACTATTGCTCTCCTTTTTGTTTTTGAAGCTATAGTAGTGAGTCGGTTAATTGCTTTCACATTGGAAGTACATACATATTGACATTGTGATACATATATATTTTGTAATGTTGAATTTAAAATAAATTTTTATTGTATTTTGGGAACGAAAATATTTTATAAAATAGTGTGTTTTCTCATGTTAAATTTTATTAGATTATGTACTTAAGCATGAATATATGTTAGAAATATAGTCTATAGATATTTATTAATGTAGTTTGGAGGGATATGTTGTGTATCTTTATATGTGTATGCTTCTAGACTGTTGTATTCTGAGCACCTCTGCAAAAACAGTGATAATGTGCAAGTGTGGTGAAAGTGTTGAATGATGATGAAAGTATTTTCTTTTTGGGGATTTTCTTTCTTTTTTGGGTCACCCTGCCTCGGTGGGAGACGGCCGACTTGTTGAAAAAAAAAAAAAAAAGTCACAATGATGTGACTGGACCAGTTCACAAATGCCCAAGTTTTGAGAGGAAACTAAACATTTTGGTCTGTTCTGGACCAGGATGTTTCCTAATGATGATTGAAATGTTTCTTTTCAGCAGTGTGGGTTATTTATGAATTAGTTACCTGTATCTGCCTGAGGTAGAGATTCTGTGAACAAGTCAAGTATAGTATGTTTTTAAATGATGGCCAACACACTCAACGGTTGCAGTCTATAGACATAAATGAGAAGCCTAGTGGTGATCACTGACTTGAAATGCAGCAGAGAGAGAGAATTTAGTATTATTTATATACCTTGAGCATGAACTTTTATCACTCTATGGCCTTCTTCCTTCCTTATTACTCAGTTATCTCTAGTTTGAGTGCAGCTTTTTAACTGGTACTTATTTATACAGTATTAAGATATATTCCTTCAATATTTTTCCCCTACCTCCAAAATCCTTCTCTCCCTCGAGCATCACTCCCTCCCTCCCTCAAGCTTCACCTCCTCCCTCCCTCAAGCTTCATCTCCTCCCTCCCTCAAGCTTCACCTCCTCCCTCCCTCAAGCTTCACCTCCTCCCTCCTCCATCTTTTATTCCCTCATTTTGCCCCCTCTTACCTTTCTTGCCCTATTCAACCTCTTCACCCCTTATCCATTTACAGTGTGTGTAACCTCTCCCTCATTTTTTCCCTTCCATCTCCTCCTTTCTGTCTCCCTCCTTCCTCTTCCACTGTGTTTTTCCTCCTTTCATCCTTTTCCTTGCTCTTTCCTTCCTCTTATTCTCTTATATTTCACATTACACTTGATTAAATTATTCTGTGTTTAGTATACTGTACGTACTTGTGTGAATAGGCCTCTGTGGTATAGAAATTTAAATTATTTAACACTTAAATTAAATAATTTATTTCAGGTGCACCTGTAATGTTTGCCAATAAATTCAGCACATTGAATTTATAATGTTTGCTGAATATTTTTTACATGAATATTCCTTACCAATTTAAGTTTTAGGAGATAGAGCACCAGAGACACACTGTAGTAGTAGTAGTGGTGTTATTTAAATTATAAATTGTTTGTTTATTTTCTGATCTAAAACTTCATGAGTACCCATTAGTAGCAGAAAGTTAGACTTGTTACACATATTTGTAAAAGACAGGAGGTTCCCATCTTACAAATGCCTCAAGTTACTGTACATGAATCTGCACATAGAAAATTGGGCACTAAACTACAAATGTAACTTTTATAGTCTTCCAGCCACAGTACAAGCATGTGAAACAAAATCTTTCATTGTGCAAATAGTATTGTTGTTATCTGTACAACCAATGCATTTGTGAGTTGAAAAGTTTGGAATGGGACTCCCTCATAATTGGGACACCTCCTGTACAGTTTTGATTACTGTACATAATAGTGAGATAAACCACGGTTCAGGTGGGGCTCAAACTCATGGCAAGCGAGTCGTAAAACTCCAGGCCAGTGCGTAAGCCGCTTGTTGAGAGTTTGTGCCCCACCCTTATTGTGGTTTGTTTGCAGTTTGTTATTACAGTTTCGTGAGTCTAGTGAGATAGCTTGGTCATATGTTTCTTCCATACTCTTTTACTTGATAGTGTAGAACAAGTATAGCTTGTTTATGGTAGTTAATAGATGCATCCTCTTCTTGCAGACAGTGTAGGTGACTACAACTCTGGGACATGCTCTGTATTTGGTGGACTGGGTACAACCTTTGACCCATCTGCCCCATATGGGTCCTGCCACAGTTTTCCTCCTTCTAGCGTGGTACCTCCTCAAGCGGTACCTCCGCAGGTACCACCCCAAGTACCTCCTCCCCGGCCCACACCAGAGACCTACAATTCTCTCTCCAAGTTCACCAATTCCACCAATTTGGTGTCCACTTCTTTTCCATACTCTGGTACTGTTGCTCCTGCTCCTGTCCCTGCCCCTGTTAACTGCTCCTACACTCAGAACAACTTTTGTATGCCTGGGGTGCATGACAACTCTGCTGCTACAGTCTTTGGACAGTACCATGAACCTAGTGCTTCTACACAAAATTTATTTAAGACTGATGTAAATGAATGCAGTGATTTTCAACCCAACTTTGAGGCTATTTCCTCTGCTTCTCCAGACAAAGCCAGCAGATACATTCCAGCATCCTCCTTAGTCGGGCCTAGCAAGGAGATCTGCACTGAATACTCAGCCGGAGCAACTTCAAGTGGGTGTTCCAGCATGGTTGGAGGAAGCTATAAGGTAGACAACTCAGCATCGAATGTATCACACAGTACCATTGGCACCTCACACTCTGACCAGCCATTATTGACTCAGTCTATCAACACACCTCCACCACTCAACTTCAATACCAGTCATCTTGTTAGTTCTAACAAAGATGCAATCATGAGTGATGGTGATGCAAATCCAACTGAAGCAGCTGAAAACTTGGGAGACATTGTTAAGAAGTCTTTGGTTGAAACTGTATCTGCTTAATAGGTCCCTCAAGGAACCATAAAGAGTTTTGGGTTTGTTATTAAACAAACTTGTCAAGTTTGAATATAAGGTCAAAGTACCATATAGATAGTTTTTTATAAAGAATTAGAAAGGATTTCAATAAAGATATGTCTTTCTATATTAGAAATAATAATAGCCCAACTTCAGTGCTATCTAATATTTACGATGGCTCATTTAGCAACATTCATCAATTCTTTCAGTGCAGCAAACACAGGTATTCTTGTCCCAAACACAGTGTCCCAGCTTTTAAAAGTTAGCTTTCCTTTGTTCACTGCAATTAAAGTGACAGTGAACAATGGCAGTTGTGATAAAATAAAGCACTTGAAGAACTGGTACTTAAACTAATTTAAAATGCTCAAGTATTTGCCTCAAAAAAATGGGCTGTGCATTTTAAATGTTTACATGGATCTGAAAGTCAAACATTTGTGTAGGGCATTTTATTTAAGGAATTGAATACATTCAGTGGTAATAGTGAAGCTGATGTATGGCTTCAGCTCTCATCATCATCATTCAGTGGTAATAGTGAGGCTGATGTATGGCTTTAGCTCTCATCACCACCACACACAATCATCCTGCAAAAAGTTCAAGGTAACATGTTTCTAAAGTTTTTAATTGTTGATCTTATTTTATGTTTATATGTATATTTAAATTCTATTTTTTTTTTTTTTTTTTTTTTTTTTTTTTTTTTTTTTTTTTTTTTTTTTTTTTTTTTTAAGTTTGATGTTTTTAGTTTTCAGACACTTTAGTTTCACACTTATTTAACTTAACATGGATCTATATTTCCAGTCTTCCTTGTGGTCTCCTCTTTCATAGTTTTTATTTGAGTGTTATTCGTATTATATATATAAAAGAAAAAGCTTTAATTTTGTCAAAGGCTACTGTTGAATTGTATGAACTTGTACAGGTTATCACTACAGTCTTGTAATACTGTCCTGACCACAGATGATCACTTTACTGTTCTCAAATATTATTATTAAAAATTAATGACATCTATCACCAACTAACTCTTGGGCAAACTGTTGTAAGGCACTTGGTTCTGAAATTCTCTGTTGGTTTATAAGAATCCGTATGGTATGGTTTTTAAATTTTATATGGTTTTAAAAATCTGTGGGCTTAAAAACCTATCTGGGCTTAAAAATCCATTTGTGTTTAAAAATCCAAGTGGGTTTTAAAGTTCTGCATTAGTAAAAATATGTGCATTTGAAAAGTCTATTTGGGCTTTAAAAATGCATATGTTCTTGAAAAGGCAGTGGTTTTTAAAAATTAGTGTACATTTTAAAAATCCATGTTGATTTAAAAATAAGTTATTTTAAAAATTCATGTGGGTTTTAAAAATCTTGGGTTTTACAAAAATCAGCATGACTTTTAAAAATCCCTGCAAGTTTTAATTATCAATATGACTTTTAGAATCTCGTGTGGGTTTTAAAATTCATTTTAAAAATCCATATGTATTAAAAGTCTCTGGTTAAAAATCTAAGTTATATTTTTTATCTTTCTGCATATTAACTGGATTTTTAAATCCAACAGATTGGGTTAGAACTGTCTCCAAGGTTGACCAGTACCAGTGATAATGTAATAATGTCTTACCTGTTTATACTGTACAGACATTTGAGTGTCGTGTGTGTATATTGAGCTCTTCTCAGAAAGTGCGATTTTTTTATGTGAAATAATTTTTAAAAGTATATTATTTGAAATATGTGTTTTATTTATATATCCTACATAAGTCTTCTCTGTTGCTCATATTCTTTTAAATGTCAACAGTATACGTTTATAAATGATGCAAAATGACTGTGAGAAATCACAAAAATGCTTGGAAGTTTGCTATTTTTTAACAGTGGTTGTTTTGTATATTGTCCTCTCCTTCCTAAATAGTCTCTAAATAAGCGAGCACACCCTGCCCTGCAGTGCTGTATGACCCTTGTGGGTTTAGCACTTGGTTTTGATTATAATTTTTATATTGTCATATCACCTGTTTACTGTTTACCTGGAGAGAGTTCCGGGGGTCAACGCCCCCGCGGCCCGGTCTGTGACCAGGCCTCTTGGCGGATCAGAGTCTGATCAACCAGGCTGTTACTGCTGGCTGCACGCAAACCAACGTACGAGCCACAGCCCGGCTGGTCAGGAACCAACTTTAGGTGCTTGTCCAGTGCCAGCTTGAAGACTGCCAGGGGTCTGTTGGTAATCCCCCTTATGTATGCTGGGAGGTAGTTGAACAGTCTCGGGCCCCTGACACTTATTGTATGGTCTCAACGTGCTAGTGACACCCCTGCTTTTCAATGGGGGGGATGTTGCATCGTCTGCCAAGTCTTTTGCTTTCGTAGTGAGTGATTTTCGTGTGCAAGTTCAGTACTAGTCCCTCTAGGATTTTCCAGGTGTATATAATCATGTATCTCTCCCGCCTGCGTTCCAGGGAATACAGGTTCAGGAACCTCAAGCGCTCCCAGTAATTGAGGTGTTTTATCTCCGTTATGCGCGCCGTGAAGGTTCTCTGTACATTTTCTAGGTCAACAATTTCACCTGCCTTGAAAGGTGCTGTTAGTGTGCAGGAATATTCCAGCCTAGATAGAACAAGTGACCTGAAGAGTGTCATCATGGGCTTGGCATCCCTAGTTTTGAAGGTTCTCATTATCCATCCTGACATTTTTCTAGCAGATGCGATTGATCTTATAGCATTTATAATGTTGAAAATTGTTACACAAAGCTTAAATATATACCAGTAGTAGAATATACTGCCAAGTATGTTAAGACACAAAAAGCAGTTAATGGCATTTTACTAAGAAAACCAAGGGAGGTTCCTTGATGCTAGTGAGGGGCTCTTGATCTGGAAATTGGATCTGTGCTCCAGTTCCCTGAATTTATCCTGAATACCGTCCATCCCCCCTAGAGGTACGTATAATCCTACGGGTTTAGCGCTCCCCATGATTATAATTCGATGGAATATTGGTGGATGTTGATGCAACAGTATTCCCATGTGCTGTATATTTGTATCCCTCGAAGGAGGTTCCTTAATGCTAGTGAGGGGCTCTTGATCTAGGTTCTGTATAATCCCCCGAGCTTAGCGCTCCCCCACGATATAATAATCTAGAGAATTAAATCTGTGCTCCAGAGTCCTGAATTAAGCCCAAGTCAGCCTTCTATCCCCCTGCTGTATCTGTTCACCTAGCAGTAAGTAGCTACTTGGGACTTAGTCCCTTACACCTGCTGTCCATGTTCATCTAGCATTAAGTAGGTATTTCGAGTCATAGTACTTTACACCTGCTGTCCCTGTTCACCTAGAAATCGACTAAGTACCTGGGTGTTGGTTAACTGGCGTGGGTTGCATCCTGGGGGGTCAAGTCTGAATGGGGACCCAACTGGAAATAAGAAAGTCCTCGATGATGCACTGACTTTCTTGGGTTATCCTGGGTGGCTACACTACAGTAAACAAGATTACACTGCACTAAACAAGATTATACAACACTAAACAAGGCTGCATTACACTAAACGGACTACACTACACCTCAGTGTGTGAGATGAGTGCGCTAGCAATCGAGCTACGGAACACCATAAAATTGCACGGAATGCTCTGCATAACCTAGAGTTTGCCTGGAGAGAGTTCCAGTGGTCAACGCCCCTGCGGCCCAGTCTGTGACCAGGCCTCGTGGTGGATCAGAGCCTGATCAACCAGGCTGTTACTGCTGGCTGCATGCAATCCAACATATGAACCACAGCCCAGCTGGTCAGGTACTGACTTTAGGTGCTTGTCCAGTGCCTGCTTGAAGACAGCCAGGGGTCTATTGGTAATCCCCCTTATGTATGCTGGGAGACAGATGAAGAGTCTTGGGCCCCTGACACTGTGTTGTCTCTTAACGTGCTAGTGACACCCCTGCTTTTCATTGGGGGGATGTTGCATCGTCTGCCGACTCTTTTGCTTTCGTAGGGAGTGATTTTCGTGTGCAAGTTTGGTACTAGTCCCTCTAGGATTTTCCAGGTGTATATAATCATGTATCTCTCCCGCCTGCATTCCAGGGAGTACAGGTTCAGGAACTTCAAGTGCTCCCAGTAATTGAGGTGTTTTATCTCAGTTATGTGTGCCGTGAAGGTTCTCTACATTTTCTAGGTCAGCAATTTCACCTGCCTTGAAAGATGCTGTTAGTGTGCAGCAATATTCCAGCCTAGATAGAACAAGCGACCTGAAGAGTGTCATCATGGGCTTGGCATCTCTAGTTTTGAAGGCCCCTCAAGGGAGGTTCCTTGATGCTGGTGAGGGGCTCTTGATCTAGGGAATTGGATCTGTGCTCCGGTTCCCTGAATTGAGCCTGAATACCTTCCATCCCCCCCCAGATGCACTGTATAATCCTACAGGTTTAGCGCTCCTCCATTATTATAATTATAATAGTTTTGAAGGTTCTCATTATCTATCCTGTCATTTTTCTAGCAGATGCAATTGATACAATGTTTTGGTCTTTGAAGGTGAGATCCTTCGACATGATCACTCCCAGATCTTTGATGTTAGTTTTTCGCTCTATTGTGTGGTTGGAATTTGTTTTATACTCTGATGAAGGTTTAATTTCCTCACATTTACCGTATCGGAGTAATTGAAATTTCTCATCGTTGAACTTCATATTGTTTTCTGCAGCCCATTGAATGTAAAAAGGAGCTTAGCAAACCTCTGGCTAATCTTTTCAACATATCACTATAAACCGGCATGGAGCTGTATAGCCCTTGTGGCTTAGCGCTTCTTTTTTATTATAATAATAATGACTCCCCTCAAGGAAGGTTCCTTGATGTTGGTGAGGGGCTCTTGATTTAGGGAATTGGATCTGTGCTCCAGTTCCCCTAATTAAGTCTGAATGCCTTCCACATCCCCCCCCCCAGGCGCTGTATAATCCTCCGGGTTTAGCGCTTCCCCTTGATTATAATAATAATAATGACTGGCATGGTGCCAGATAAGTGGAAAATGGCAAATGTGATACCTATTTTCAAAGGTGATAGGTCCTTAGCTTAGAACTATAGATCAATAATGTTGGTGAGGGGCTCCATTGTTGGTGCTAGGGAGGATAGAAGTAAGACAGGGAAACATGCACCAACAGGGAATACAGTCACAGAAACCCAAGGCAAACGGAAACCAAGCCTGTGCACATACTATGCACTCGGTATCTGCTGGCATGGGAAATCTGGAAAAACAGATGGGACGTGCAACTATGACCACCCTAGGAAATGTCATGCCCATATGACAACAGGAAAATGCAAACTCCCTTCCTGTAAGCTTTTTCACCCTGAACTGTGTACCTCTTCAGTACAGGAAAGACTGTGCTATAACTTAAATTGCCAGGCATACCATCTAAAGGGGACAAAAAGATACAAAACATCCAGGCCATGGGAAAACCTGGGTAGCCACAGCCACTCAAGAGGGAGAGGTTTTTTAGTGCCAGGAAGGAAAAAAAACTGGCAGGAAATGGCAGAAATCGTACACCAAATCCAGTCATTCCTGGATTATTATTATTATTATAATCAAAAAGAAGCGCTAAGCCACAAGGACTATACAGCGCTGCAGGGCAGGAAGGAAGCGAGGGCATCAGGTGGCAAAAGGGAGATGGATGAGCAACAGGTTACGGATAACAGCGGGGCAGTGGATGGTGAAAGGGTAAAGGGCAGCAAGAGACTGTCATTCCTGGAGTGGAACCACAGTCGATGGCCTCCACTCCAAACCAACAGATACAGATACTAATGCCGGAAAAAAAAATCCCCCCCCAGTACCAACAATACCACCAGTCCGATAACATTCTTCTTTGCAAATATACAGGGTCTAAAGCCAGCAACAAACAACAAAATACCTTTCATCCGTGGACTGCTTGCAGAGGCAAAGGCAATGTTCGCGGCTTTCACTGAGACCCACATAAAGGATCACTTGGACAACGAAATATGGATCCCAGGTTACAACCTATACAGATGTGACAGAGTGAACAGGCAAAAGGGGGGGGGGTTGGCCTGTACATTGCAGAGTACACTTGTTTGCACAGAACTGCTAAATGCCTCAAATGATGTAGTGGAAGTTTTTAGCAGTAAAGGTCGAGAACCAAAACCTAGTCATTGTGATAGTCTACAAGCCTCCGGATGCAACATCCCAGCAATTCCAGGAACAGCTGTTAAAAATTGACCACTGTCTGGAAAACCTTCCAGCTCCTGCACCCAACATCTTGCTCCTGGGGGATTTCAACTTAAGGCACCTAAAATGGAGGAATATAGCAAATAATATTGTTGCAGTAATAACACCAGGAGGCAGCTCTGATGAAAACTCACACTCACGCGAGCTTTTAAATCTCTGCACAAAATTCAATTTAAACCAGCAAATAATAGAGCCTACTAGACTGGAGAATACACTAGACCTCATCTTCACTAACAATGATGATCTGATAAGAAATATCACCATATCAAAAACAATATACTCAGATCACAACATAATTGAGGTTCAGTCATGTATGCGCGGAGCCCCAGACCGACATAATGAGATTAGTCACGAGGGAGCATTCACCAAATTCAACTTCAATAACAAAAACATAAAGTGGGACCAAGTAAACCAAGTCCTAACCGATATAAGCTGGGAAGATATACTAAGCAACACAGACCCCAACTTATGCCTAGAACAGATTAACTCGGTAGCACTCGATGTATGCACAAGGCTTATTCCTCTAAGAAAAAGGAGGAGTAGATGTAAA